CAGGATGAGAACCAGCATCAGAAGGGGAAGAGAGTGCTCCAGGATGAGAACCAGCATCAGAAGGGGAAGAGAGTGCTCCAGGATGAGAACCAGCAGCAGAAGAGGAAGAGAGTGCTCCAGGATGAGAACCAGCCACAGAAGAGGAAGAGAGTGCTCCAGGATGAGATCCAGCAGCAGAGGAAGAGAGTGCTCTGGGATGAGAACGAGCAGCACCAAAGGCAGTGACATGCACAGACATGCACATCAGTGCAGACACAATGACACATGTATGCACACCTAAAGCAACATAGACACACACAGAGACACATACAGAGATACACAAACTCATGGACACGCATAGAAATGCAGACCTACACACACACACACACACACACACACACACACACACACACACAGCACCGATAAATTACGGAATTATAAGCAACAGTAGAGTTGTGTGCCCTCTTTTTTTCTCCTTCCTCAATTGAGTTAAAAAGCAATAATATCAAATGACATTTATAGAACTGCATTATTAGGCCCATAACAAATAGAAATGTAATAAGCTTCCGAGGCACACCAGAGAGGGAGGGTGACAACGCTGTGCTGGAGCACGGTGACAAAGCCAGATGGCAATTCAGACTCGCGGGGACAAACGCCGAGGGCCAGACACGGTGCGTCCAATAGGTAATAGGACAAACGCCCCATCTCCTTTCTTGGCTTCTTTTAGCAAGGCGGGGTTGATAAAGTAATATTACAGCCTGTGCCCCCCCCATGCAGATGTGATATGTGTAGCAATAACCACAGAAAGAGGAATAAAGTAATAGAACCACTTAAAAGCAGCGTTTCCATGTTGCGCTGTAATTTAGTAAGAACATAAAATAGATTTTAATATGCTGAAATGCATACAGTAAGCACGGGGGCAACCACTAAGAAAACAACCCAGAAAATACGGTGGAAAACTCATTAAGAGAATTAAAACGGTGCGCAGGAAAACACCCACTTAATTCAAAAGGAGGCAAAAGGGGAGACGCAGGAGCAGACCAAGTGATGTCAGTACCTCGTTTCAAGTAGTGGGTAGAGCAAAGAGAGGAAGGATCTAGGCCAAAACAGGGGACCCGAATGTCACCTTGAGCCAGCTAAGCCTGACACTGATAGAACACACCATCCAACAGCGGAGAGCACATTCTTCCCAAGATGACGGAACATTAATAAACCGCGAGACAAACCTTGATATGTTCAAAAGTCATGCTGACCGTTCCCATCTTCACCAATGTCACCCCACAACCTGATCCCCCCATCCCACCCCATCTCTGCCTGATCCCACTCCATCTCCACCTGATTCTATCCCATCTCCACCTGATCCCACCCCATCTCCACCTGATCCCATCCCATCTCCACCTGATCCCATCTCCACCTGATCCCATCTCCACCTGATCCCATCTCCACCTGATCCCACCCCATCTCTACCTGATCCCACCCCATCTCCACCTGATCCCATCCCATCTCCACCTGATCCCACCCCATCTCCACCTGATCCCACCCCATCTCCACCTGATCCCACCCCATCTCCACCTGATCCCACCCCATCTCTTTTTTTTTTTTTAATTTTTGAAGACTAAAACATTTTAATTCCAAATTGTATAGTTAACTGTATTGCATCTAGAACCTTCTAGTTAGGGTATATGACTAACCCACTGTTTACCTCTCTAAAGGCATGCCACCCCATCTCTTTATGACCCATCTCATCTCCCCCAAAGCCGGTCCCACATTCACCCACTCTGCCTCATTGCCACTAAGACCCACTCCATCACACCGGGCCCACCTTCTCCCTCCCAACTCATTGGTTCAACCCCTACCATCTGCCCTGCCCCTACCACATACCCCAGCCTATCCCTGCCATCTGCCCCGCCCCTACCACATACCCCAGCCAATCCCATAGTAGTAGAGATGCTTGCTGTCCTCTGACCCGAAGACCTTTATCACCATGCTATAGAGATGCAGTCCCTCCACCAGCATCCAAGCAAAGGCACTCAGGAAGAAGTAGTGCAGGAGAACAGCCAGTACCTGGCACGGGACCTGGAAGCCAAGCAAAGACGCAGTGTGAGGCCATGGAGCGCACAATGGCTGTGCTTAGGTTTTTCTTCCCAGTGTCTATTTCCTGGACACCTCTAGTCACATGACCTTACTTTCATCCTGGGGAGCCAAGGCTCAGTTTCTCAGTCCCAGGGTCTTCTACAGCCTCTGACTCTGCCACTCACTCATGCCCACTCCTAGCACTGGAACTCAAGAAAGGACCCCCAACAAATCCTCTCCCCAATGTCTCACCTAGGTGCAGAGGGAGGTGCAGCTGAGGGGTGAGGATCAGCACCTACTCACCGTGCCAGGCTCCACACGGAAGCTGATGAGCAGCAGAACCTGGGCCACCAGGACAGCAAAGGACAGGTTGGCATGGATGTGGTAACGCTGGTTCCGAATGGTACTGACAGAACTGAAGACAGAGAGGCGAGTGTGAGTCCCGGAGCTCGGCCTTGACATCCGATCCCCATTCTGGTCCCCTGCCTTTGAGAAACCATGGGTATCTTTATGGCCTCTACTCCTCCATGCTGTTGCTCCCTGCTTGGACCCTCAGCAGCTCCCTGTGACTCTTGGCTAGCATCCCAGGTCCTTCCATAGATCCAACCACCCTGCACAGCCTGAGCCCTGCATGACAGTCCATTGGTTCTTCTAACATCCCTGGGCCATCTTCTCTTTCCCACCCTCCACCCTGGAGGGGGTGGGGAGCAGGGACACTCAACTGAATTCTGAATTAGAACCCACAGAATATACACCCCATGACATCATCAACATCATTGAGGGCAGCAGGGAGGGAGAGAACTGCTTGGATACAGGAAAATGGTTGCAGGACCTGCCATCCTTTTCTAGTCATTCCTGGCAGGGCTCTGCCTGTAGGCTTGGATGGCCACCAACAGGGAGAGCGTCCTAGCCTCCCACCCCAAGATGCTCACCTCTGTACTGTCTCCTTGTACATGGCAGACTGCACAAGAAAGCATTATTTATTCTTTGGCTTTCTCGGTTATTGATGGGCCCCATCCAAAGGCACTTGTGCATGACTTGGCCTCAAAATCAGACATCATAGCTTGCTGAGGAGGGGAGAGTCAAGGATACCTGTGCTAACTCTTGCCTGGTTCAGATCCCCCCAGAACTCCTCAAGTGTCGGTGTGGGACTTTCCAGACCTTTTTAGTATGTCTAAAACCTAGTGATCCCACTCCACAGGCCCTGTTATTTCTTTGTATCTTCCCTGCACCTCAGATTTTGAAAGTGAATGTCACTGGAGAGCAGTCACATTGTCACATCTGGACCCCACCTAGCATGGCTGGGATATACCCCCAGGGTCTTTAAAGCCAGAGAGAGGTATGACTAGAGTGGCAGGATGCACAGATATTTCCAGTAAGTTGCTAGGCCTCCTGGGGACACAAGGAGAGGGTGACTCACGACAGGACTGCAAAGGTGACCAGCGTGGCAGCCAGACAGAGAACCGACAGAGAGCAGCCAATGTAACTGATGGACGACAGCGCCACCTGGTGTCCACGTGTGAGCTGCAGGAACAGAACAAGGTGTGGGTGGGTGGCCTTGGACCCCATTCCAATGGCTGGGAGGGTGCCACATGATGCCATAGCGCTGACCCTGTGATAATGACCCCCGAAGCCTGCCTCCTGCCCCAGTCACAGGCAGAGAGATATACCCTATTGGACTTCAGGGTTGACATGACCCATGCTTCAGATTGCTTGCCTTCCTGACTTAGGCTACCTGACCTCTTCTACTACAACACCCCCCAGGCCATGTCTGAATGGGTGACCTAGGGTGACCAGAGACATATGCCTCCACTGGCTATGAAATGCAGGAGATGACAGTGATGGGCTTGAAGTGGGGAGTGGGGTGTGTGTGTCAATGGATTCGCAGACATGAAGAACTCAGGAAGACTACTCACCGCATGTTAGATGAGAGGCTATACTGACTTGCAGAAGAAGGTCAGTACCCTCCCTGGCCCTCAGTTTAAGAGCATCGCTAGCCCCCAAACTGACAATATGCTTTTCCTCATTGGCAGATACATGCCAGCCCTTGGTACCTTCTCTTGAGTCGACACCCACTTGGTCACCTGGATGGACATCTGTTGTGACAGATCATCTCTCATGGCAAAACAAGACATGTGTAAAGAGAATTTGCACCCCACTAGAGCCCAGCAGCCCACACCTGAGCATTCCATCCATGCCCTAGCATCCGGTACCCATCTCTGTTTTGTTGCACCTGGTTCCTTCCCATCTGTGGCTCTCAGAGATGATGTCCAAGTTCCAATGGATGCTAAGATCCCTCCATGCTGTTCTCTGGCCCTGGACAGAGGCCAGGTACAGCCAGACCTTGAGAGACTCCATGGTTCCCTGGGCATGGTTCTCTAGCTTAGTGACGGTCCCTTATCTTAGTCAGCTCTAGCATTTGCTGACCACAGGCAAGGAGCCTTGCTAGGGCTGAGCCTGGGCTGTCATTATCCTGTGTCCCATGGAGGTGGATACACAGTGCAGGTGCAGGTGGGCATGAGCCACCTAGCTGCTGTGGCAGAATGGAGGTTCCCTGACCTCTCATGGGGTTCATCAGACACGGAGTCTAGGCCCCCTCCTACTTAGGTCACCTCATAAGAGCCAACTAGGGGGTCCAGAGCTCCAACACTTCCTCCTAGGAACCGGGAGTCTCTGTATCCCATCAGCCACCTGGCTTACCGGGAAAACAAGGCATCTATCTGTCCTTCACAGTGAACAAAATTCAAGACTTTCATCAAAAGCCAGGAGACTCCTCAGGGCTAATGAAGTGGCTAAGATGTCAATCACGACAGGGAACTAACTACCTTCCTGGCTATAGGGCAGAAGCCAGGACCTGGAGTCCTGGTGGGACTTGGAGCCACAGCAGGATACAGTCACTCTCCTAAGAAGCACTTGTAGCCCACAGTAATATTAAAAAAACAAAACAAAACAAAACAAAACCCTATTGGTCTCTTTCCCCATCATCTGCACTGGCTGTCAGGAACTAAGACCAGCCTGCGGTGCAAAGCCAGGCGAGGATGGAGGTAGGGAACCCATGGAGCAAAGACCCAGGGCCAGGTGTGACATAGGCTCTCGGGACTGAGTCCTTCATGAACACTAGAAAATAAGGACCCTCCCCCTGGGCTGGCAGGTCCTGACCCCAAAAGTGCTGGGGGAAGGAGAAGCAGTAGGCAAAGGTCCCCCTGTTTTCCAGTTCATCCCCAAAAGCACAGCCAGGCAGCTTAAGACAGTGGGATGGGTTTGGTCTTCGGGTCCACCAAGAGGACTTAGCCCACAGCACTCAAATGGGGACGGGAAGGGTGTGTGTGACATCTCACCCTTGTCTGAAATGGCTGGAGAGACGACCACCACTGAAGCATGCCCCCCACGGAGGTCAGAGTCCTGGGGAGACACGGCAGTGGGTCACATGAATGTGGCTGGATCTGTATGCACCTAGGTGGAGCAATCGTCAAGATACACGGATTCCTTTGTAAGAAGGGAGCAATCTTCACCCTTTGTTCGGAGAACAAAGAGGTGCTTGCTGCAGGCTCAGACGGCATGTCGGTGATGATGGGAAAGCCTGCGTGCATGCATGCGTGCGGGACCCAGGAGACGGGAGAGAGAGAGGGAGAGGGGGAGATGTTGGTTTGCTCTCTGCCTGGTGTGTATAATTTCTATAGGCCCCACAGAGAATTCCTCCACTTCCTCACGCATCTTCCATCTGGTCCTTGGACCTCTATGGGGCGCCCTGTCCATAAGGAGGCCGGAACCTAGCCAGAGCTGCCCATGCTGACCATCCTCAGCCCTTTGCTCCATTTTGGGCCCTCTAGGATGGAGACTTCCTTCTGCCTCATCTGTCCTGTCCCTGCACCTAGAGCCACCAAGCCTACCCCTGCCCCTTGGGGGATGGGCCCCATTCTGAAGGCAGCCTCCTCCTGAAATAGGATCCCAGAAGAAGCAGACAGCCCCCCATCTGGAGAGAGCTCCTGCCCCCCACAGTTTCGGAGCGGCTGATTCTTTTTTTTGTTTGTTTGTTTTGTTTTGTTTTTGTTTTTGTTTTGTTTTTTTGTTTTTTGTTTTTTTCCGAGACAGGGTTTCTCTGTGTAGCTTTGCGCCTTTCCTGGAGCTCACTTGGTAGCCCAGGCTGGCCTCGAACTCACAGCGATCCGCCTGGCTCTGCCTCCCGAGTGCTGGGATTAAAGGCGTGCGCCACCAATGCCCGGCTAGGAGCGGCTGATTCTTAATGAAGATTCTAGGATAACATCAGCACCATCCATGTCTCTATTTCAACTGCGGCATCCCGGGCCTGGCTAGAGGAGCTGATGTCGGGGAGTCAGAAGGTGGACCCCAGAGTAAGGAATGAGAGTGGGGCTCCCCAGAGATTACCCGGCAGCCTTTTATACACTTCTCTTTCATCTCCTCTGTCCCAGGTGCCCTCTTCTCTCCTTCTCTTCCTGACCTTCCTAAGAGCAGTTTGCACAGTTACCTCTCCCATGACTTCTAGGCTCATTGCCATGCCCCAGGAGCCTCCCCAGAGCCTGAAGGAAAAGATACCTGACAGGGAGCAGCCAACAGGGAGGCTGCCACGGGGAGAGAGTGAGATGAGGGGAGACAGGATGGGGGCCAGACACGAACTTGAAGGGGGAGGCCACGGGAGGGGACAGGACAAGGAGTAGAGAAGATGAGGAAGAGGAGAGTCTGCTCTGAGGCCTCTAGCCTGCACATAATTAGTGCCCTTCCACGAGTGACATTGGCATCCGGTATCCCCTTCAGTCACTCTCCCTGCTTTGTTACTGAGGCAAGGTCTCGTGCTGAAGCCAGAGCCAAATGGGTCAGCCTCGTTAGCCAGCTTGCACCAGGGATTCATCTGTGCCCATTCAGTTTTTCTTTGGGTGGCTAGGGACCTAAACTCTAGTTCCCACCCTGCAGTAAATGCCTTATTCACTGACCCACTTCCAAGGCCGACATTTGAATGTAAGAGGTCACAGTCCTAGAGGGACTGGCTAGACCTGCCCCCACTCCTACCCCACCCCCCACCCCCACCCCATATTCCTCTGTCTACCCCACAAGCCCTCACAAACATCCCTAAGGACATCCTAAGACTCTCATGCTCCCAGCTCATTCTGTGCCAGGCATGGAGTTCAGAGGCTGGGGGCTCAGGGCTGGGTGTTAGGGGGTGATGGCGGGTTCCAGAGACGGAACCCTCAGAGGCATACTCAGGGTTAGGGACTCAAGGTAGGGTGCTGAGGCTGGGTTCCCAGGCTGCACAGTGCCCACTCCTTCCCCTTCTGATATCTGCCATGGGCCTCCAGAAACAAGTCCCGCCCCCTCCCCCCAATCCTCCCCCACCGACCCACCCCCCGCACCCCGCTCTGCTACAGATGGTAATGGAACGGAGGCTCAGAAGACCCACAAAGCACACGGCAGGGAGGAACCCTGTGTGTCCCAATAGCTGGCACAGTTGACTTATAGAGGGCCCAGCACTGAAGACCCACAGCCCAGGACAGGGACATTTCCTAGAGGTTGCCTACGCATAGACGACGCGTAGAGCCTGCTCAGGCCCAGTCCTCATATATGCCCCCAACCCCAAGAAACATCCATGGATTCCTGACTATGCCACGTTTCTGGAACCACAAAAGAGGCTCACACAGTGGCTGGACTGGTCTCATCATTCCTTGCTTTCACACCTACATACAGTCCCCCTTCGTGGCTGTAGATGACCGCCACTATCTTGGATCCAGGCTAGAGATGGTGTGATGGCCGTGAGTGGAAAAGGGTTCCACGACAGCACACACACACACACACACACACACACACACACACACACACACACAACACATGCAACGCCAGCTTCAGGGCAGCATTGTGTGGCCTGGCTGTGCCCTTTCTTTCCCACCGTGGCCAGATTTAGAAATGCCCCAAAAATACCCCCTGGCATTGGTTTCAGGACTGGATCCCTCTGAGTCAGCGACCACAAACTCAATGTCCTTGAAGTGCCTTGGAGAGACGGCATGCAGGAGACCAGCTGAGGCTCCCACTCAGAGGAGCATGCGGGGCCACTCTGCCCAAAGATCACTCACCCTTCATCTCAGCCCCTCGGGGTGGCCAGGACATCCTCCCCTCCAGACAAGAATGAAAAGTGTTGCCGTCTTCGGCACAAACTGAAGGTGAACAGCTACTGACCATAGTAGGGGAAAGTGATGGAGATAAAGATGATCTGGACCCGTGAACCCTTTCCCTGAAGGGACCAAGATAATGCCTCTATCCCCTCCAATATCATTTAACTAATTTTTCCACCCCACCCCCGTCTCTCTCACAGTGTGTGTGTGTGTGTGTGTGTGTGTGTGTGTGTGTGTGTGTGTATGAAAGGCATGTGTATGGTGCATGTGCACATGTGTGCTTATATGTGGAGACCCAAGGTTGATTTCAGAAATCTTCATCCCTCTTCCACCTTATTTATTGAGTCAGGATCTCTCAATCAAACCCAGAGCTCTCCGTCCCATAGGCCTAATCTAGCTAGCTTGCTTGCTCTGGGGATCCCATCTCCACTGTCCAAGGTTGGAATGACAGGTGGGCCACCACCCCCATGTGACATTTATGTATGTTTCCGGGGAACTGAACGCTCATCTTCATGTGTGCAAGGCAAGTGTTTTAACCTCTAAGCCTCCTCCCTCGCCCTGTTTTGCTTTTCTAAAAACCAGAAATCGAGACTTTCAGGTCAAGTATCTAAAGCATGACATTCTGATGTGAGAGCCAAGCCTTCCATATTCACACATCATGAATACTTGAATGGCCAAGGTCAGCCTCAGACCACATTCTAGAATCTCCTGGAACACCATCCTGGGGTCTCCTGAGACATCATCCCATGGTCTCCCAGGGAATCATCTTGGGGTCTCCTGAGATACCCTGGATTCACCTGCGACATCGTCCTGATGTCTCCCCGGCCATCATCCTAGAGCATCCCTCCTAGCATTGGTCCACCAGTCTATGTCACTACTCAGGCATGCCTCACTGTCTGTTGAGACTGCACAGAAAGGCCACACCCACTCAACGAGGAAGACAGAAGCCTCCAGAAGTGAGCCCCTAGGAAGAAACCAGGAGTGGAGAAGGGTTTGACTGACCTCAGAGATGGGGACACGACGGGGCAGGAGTGCCCAAGCACAGACTTGAACCACAAACCCAAAGACCATGAGGGGGAAATTGGTGCCCAGGAGGAAGCTGGCTTGGTGTCAAGGACATGAGGTCATTCACGCCACCTTTTGAATTCCATAAGTGTGCCCCGGGCTTGGCCTCGCTTGTGAGATCTGCCTTAATTTCGTTAATGTTCATGAACCGCTCCTTTTAAACGGGGATAATTTTAAACCATTTTCAAATCAACCTTTCCCAGCAATGAATAGATGTGATTTTTCTCCCACGAAGACACCCACAGGCTGTCTAAATTTGGTGTCACCAATACTGACTGGTGACAGATTCATAATATAAATGAGTCTGGATTTCCTTCTTCTTCTTCTTCTGTTGTTTTTCCCTTTTTGACTTTGTAGCTTGGACCTCTCTTGGGACAAATGCCAGGCATGAGTAGCCGCTCCCTGGAGAGTACACATCCCTTTGTGCAGCTCCCGGGTAGGCCAAAAAGGGGTATAATATCCCTCCAGCATATGGAGGACCCAGAGGAGGAAGCTCCTTACCCTGGTGCCATTTGAAATGTCCCCCGGTGGTGTGAAGGCTCCTGTCTCCCTCAGTGAGCCTAGGGGTACACCTGTGCCTTCACTCTGAGTGGTCTTTGGCAACACTCGGGTTCCCAGCCGGCACGGTGGATGCCCACTTGCTTAACTGCCCACTAAGAAGGTACCTCCAAAGGCAACATCACTGGCCAGGTACCTTCTCTGGTGGCCCTTGGTGTGTGTGCTTGCTGGATGCCATGGGCTCATTTCCTGCAACTCTGGAGCATCTTTCCAGGGCAGCTGACAGCTTCCTGCTGATCTCCCCTCCAGGCTTGTGATCTGTGTCCCATGTCCCCTTATCCTCCCTTAACCAATGTAGGTTTCTATGTGAACCACATGTCAGACTCCCCGGCTTGCTCTTCAAAGATGTTAACTGTGTCCAGCCACCTCCCAGATAGGAGACCACTTTGTAGACCATCTAGATCTGCTCCGAGGGTGGCGGCGACAGCTGCTGCGACCTGAGGACCAGGCGGGGTCTACGTGGCACTCACCTGCAGTGGGACCACTTGCATGAGGATGGCGAAGTTGGTGAGATGCGTACAGCGGCACACTGAGTGGGTGAGGTTTCCCTCTGTGAGTGCACAGCCCTGGCTTGACCAGACGCCTTCCCCGGAGCTGAGGACACAATGAACAGGCGTGATCAGTGGGAACAATAGCACCCCTGAGTCCCACAAGCTCAACAGCTCACTAGCTAACCCTGACATCAGGGTGCAAACCATCCTTGGGTATTAAAACTGGGAAGTGGCTGCCACTGGGACAGAGAGAGGCCGGAGCCACTGACTCAGCTTGGTCCACTGGAAAGCACCTAGACCCCTCCTAGCCTTGGGAGGAAATGTGTGTGGCCCAGAGTCCAGCTTGGGAAACCAAACACTCAGGGACTCATGAGTGACCTAAGAAAGCAAGCATTACAGTTCTTAAACGTGTGTCCGGAGGACAGATACATAAAATGCAAGGTGTATAAATAATATGCACATAACTAAAATGCAATGCATACAGATATGATATAATGTGGTAGATATAAAGCTAAAACTCCTACATAACACTTTAAAAACCTTGAGGCTGGAAATAGGGTGCCGGGGCTAATGTTACTCGCAGCTCGACTATGAAAACCTGCATTTGATTCCCGGCCCCTGTGTAAGAAGCTGGGCATGGTCCCGTATTCTCCTGTAACCCCAGTGCTGTGGGCAAGTGGAAGCCAGGGATAGCTGGGATTGCCAGTCCAGCCAAAAAGAATGCAAGCTCGAGATTCAAGGAGAGACTCTGACTCAAAAGAGTAAGCTGGAGAAGTATCGAGGGCACTGGATGGCCTCTACTGACCATGGCATGGGCATAGGCATGTGCAATGTGCAGCCACACACACAGACACACACACACACACACACACACACACACACACACACACGCACACGCGCACACACACACACAATACACATGTGCACACGTTATTGTCACTTTAAATTTTAAGGATTTTATTTGGGGGGGGCTGTGTGTGTGTGTGTGTGTGTGTGTGTGTGTGTGTGTGTGTGTGTGTGTGGACTGGGGATATAGCTGCATGTAAGTACAGGTGTCTGCAAAGGACAGAAGAAGGCATCAGATCTCCTGGAGCTGGAGTTACAGGTGATGGTGATGATGAGCTGCCACATAGGTGCTGGGAATTGAACTCAGATCCTCTGAAAATCAGTCTGTGCTCTCTACCTCTGAGCCAGCTCTCCAAGCCCCCAGAAACTTATTTTAAAAACAGTCCTTGGCCAGTGTGTACCATTAACACGTGAAACACAAAAGCGGCGCACAGGACGTCGTGACGGTGTGCGGGAGGCAACATCGACCCGGTGTCTGTGAATGCACACATAAATGAATGTGAATTACTAAGGACACTGACAGCCTGGTCACAGTGGCCTCCAAAAACCCGGGAAGGAGGTCAGGGGAGGAGGCTGGGGTCAAATGGAATGTTTGCTTTTCTGTAATGTTCTAGTCTTTAATTGCTGTTGGCACTATGATTTCTCACAGCGACGCCCAGGCCAATAGGCGCCGATGCCAGCCGGTTAATCTTTGCAGGGAGCGTGGTGGTCACTGTCATTTTCCTGTGTGTACTTCTCTCTCCTTTCAAATGCCAAACAGGTATCTTTGTCCGAAAAGGCAAACCTGCATCTCAGCTTGAGGCAGGAGCCCCTAGTCTGTGGAGCTGAAGAAGCCTGAGGCTCGGGCTGTCTCTCATTGGTAATCCGCTATAGTTCCTCCTTCTACACTGTGGGGGTAGCCACCTGGAGTGAGGGAACCCAGGACCCGATCTTGCACCCCTGACAATATCCAAGGACGAGACCACTCAGCTATAACAGTTTTATGTTCCAAAGAGGCATGTAGCCCTTGCAATAGTAACCCTG